CCCCCGCCTTCCCCCCGCCGGCCTTCTTTCAAATCAGCACATCAACGTGGTTCAAACACTTCCCAGGAGAGAGAGAGAGCTCAGGGTGTGAATCTGGCACCGTTAGCAAGATGAAACTCCAGGTTCAGCCAGCGTGGTTGGAGAGAGAATCAGAGTTAACATTTCCAGGCCAATGTGACTCTTCAGGCCTAGGAGGGAGCCAGCGGCTGTTCCTCTAGGGGTGGCATTGCAGTGCGGTCTTTGGTTCCATTTGCTCTCGGGACACGAGCGTCTAGGCCTGGCATTTGTCGCCCCATCCCTGTTGCCCTCAAGAAGGTGAGGGTGAGTTGCAGTCCATGTGCTCCATCTACAGCCCCCATAAACTCCCACCCTGTGGCCAACATTCGCACTATTCCATTGTTGGACTGAACAGGAGAAATCCATCATTTTACTTGTTGTTGTCTGGGAGAATCCAATTTCTGGTATTGGAGACAGCCCAAAGAAGGCTCATTTGGCTGATTCCGGGGATGGAGGGACTGTCTTAATGAGAAGAGGTTGAATCGGTCAGGGCCTTTAGAAGAATGAGAGGTGACCTTATTGAAACGGACAAGATTCTTAGATGGACTTGAAAGGACTTTTTGATTTGAATTTTCTTTTGAAATTGATTTATTATTATCGCATGTACGTAGGTGCAGTGAAAAGTTTTGTTTTGCGTGCATTACAGGCGGCTCATACCACACAAAATGCATTAGAGCACTAGAACAGAGCTAGGAATACAATGTTAGGGCTGCAGAGAAGGTGGACAGAGAGCGAGATCAACATTAAATTTAAAATTTGAGAGGTCCACTCAGAAGTCTCATAACAGCGGGGAAGAAGCTGTTCTTGAATCTGTCGGTGTCTGTGTACAAGGCTTTGCAGCGTCTGCCTGATTGTAGAGGTTGGAATAGATTATAATTGGGGTGGGAGGGGTCTTTCGTGATGTTGGCTGCCTTCCTGAGACAGTGGGAAGTATTAATGGAGTCAATGGATGGAAGGCTTGCATGATATTCTGGTCTGCGTTCACAACTCTCTGTAGCTTTTTTACAACCTTGGGAAGAGAGTTGCCATACTATGCTATGATGTATCCAGATCGGATGCTTTCTGTAGTGTATCTGTAAAGGTTGGTGAGGATCCTTATGGATGTGCTGAATTTCCGTAGCCTCCTGAGGTAGTAGAGGTATTGGTGTGCTTCCTTGACCATCGCATCAACGTGGATGGACCAGGACAGGTTATTGGTCACTGCCAGGAACTTGACCACCTCCACCTCAGCTCCATTGACGTAGATTTGGGCTGCCCTCCATCTTGTTTCCTGAAGTCGATAACCAGCTCTTTCATTTTGCTGACATCGAGGAAAAGACTGTGATGTTTGCACCATGCCACCAAGCACTCTATCTCTTTCCTGTATTCTGTCTCATCGTTGTTTTGAGATCTGCAAATGCGCTGTCGTCACCGAATTTGTAGATGGAGTTAGAATAAAAGTTGGCCACGCAAGTTGTGAGCACGCACGGAGTACAGTAAGGGGCCGAGGATGTAGCACGAATCATTCAAAAAGATAGTTTGCAAGTGGTTAGAAAGGGGCAGGGAGCAGCATATCACCATGTCAAAGATGCTATATTGGTTACTGTTGTACAGTTGTTGAGTGAATGAGGAACTTCTCCAGTAAAGTTGCAATTCGGAAATCGAAGCCAGAACATCAGTTCCTCATCTCAGTTTCACCAGCTGACGGAATGTCGCTGGCCTCGGAAGTGAAATCTGTTTCACTCTCCACAAATGACAACACATCGCCGGAATATTTCCACTTAAATTATTAAGGCGGTGTGGGAAAGTCCATGAGAGGGCGACAGCGAAGGCCAATGCTGTAAAACAAAAAAGAACTGCTGGAGATCTGAAACAAAAACTGAAATCGCTGGAGAAACTCATCTGTGGAGAGAGAAACAGAGTTAACGTTTGGTAGCTTTTTATCAGAATGAAAGGAATGTTCGCCTTCACTCGAAAGAGCATAGAAGTGCGGAGGTTTTGCTAAAACTGCAAGGCACTGGTCAAACTGGCGAGAATACTCTTCTGGGGCCCCGTATCCAAGCAGAGATAGATTGGCCACTGGTGGCAGTCCAGAGAAGGTTCACTCATGATCACGGGTATAGAGAGACTGTCTTATGAGGAGAGGTTGTGTCAGTCGGGTCTGTACTCATTGGAGTTTAGAAGAATGAGAGGCATCCTTATTGAAACATGCTAGATTCTCAGACACTTACAGAGTCATATAGCATGGAAACAGACGCTTCATTCCAACCAGTCCATGCCAACCATAATCCCAAACTAAACATGTCCCACCTGTCTGCACTTGGCCCAAATACCTCCAAATACTTCTTATTCATGTACTTATCTAAATGTCTTTTAAATGTTGTAATTGTACCCACATTCACCACTTCCTCTGTAAGTTCCTACCATACCCTCTATTTAAAAAAAATGCCCGTCATGTCCTTTTTCTATTTTTCTCCTCTCACCTTAAATATATGCTCCGTAGTCTGACATCCCCCACTCTTAGGAAAAGACCTTTGCTATTCACCTTATCTAAACCCTTCATGATTTTATAAACCTCTATGAAGTCACCCCTTAACGCCCTTTGCTCCAATGGAAAAAAATTCCAGTTCCCAACCAGTCTCTCCTTACAACCCACCCACACCCTCCATTCCCAGCAACGTCCTGATAAATCTTGGCTGAACCTTTTCCAGTTTAATAATATCCTTCAACCAGAACTGGACACAGTGCTCCAGAAGAGGCCTCACCAACGTCCTGTACAACCTTAACATAATATCCCAACTCCTATAGTCAAAGGTCTAAGCAATAAAGGCAAACGTGCTAAACGCCTTCATAACCGCCCTCTAGGACCAGAGGGTGTAATCTCAGAATAAGGAGTCACCCGTTGAAGACAGAGATCGGGAGGAATTTCATTTCTCCGAGGGGAGTGAAAATGTGGAATTCTTTACCATGGAGGGCTCTAGGGGCTGGGTCGTGATGTTAATTCAAGGCCCAGTTAGATTGTAATCAGGAAGGGGAATCGAGGGTGATGGGGAAAGCCTGGAAAGTGGAGTGGAGGATAATCAGATCAGGGGAAGCAATGGCCTAGTGGTATTATTGCTGAACTGTTAATCCAGAAAGCTAGGTAATGTTCTGGTGACCTGGGATGGCTGTGGCACATGGTGGAATTTGAATTCAATAAATATCTGGAATTAAGAATCTAATGATGACCATGAATCCGTTGTCGATTGTCGGGAAAAACCCATCTGGTTCACTAATGGCCCTTAGGGAAGGAAACTGCCATCCTTACCTTGTCAGGCCTATAATGAGATTCCAGACCCACAGCAATATGGTTGACTCTTAACTGCCCTCTGGGCAACTAGGGATGGGCAATAAATGCTGCCTGGCCAGCGATGCCCTCATCCTGTGAACAAATAAAGAAAATAAAAACATTGGCCGATCGGCTGGATAGCCTTACTCTGCCCTTGCGTCACATGACCAGTTTGTGAGGCTTCTCATTTATTGTTGTGATGTCCAGCCTGGTTATAGTGACAATCCTGGCCCTTATACAGTCCTCATGTCATTGAAGAGGTGTTCCTGTCTCTATCTTCTTTCCCCATTCATTGTTCAAAGGAGCAGGCTCACGTAGAGCACTTGGATGTTAGAGTGTTAGCAACACATTGCATGCATTCAATTCATCATCATAGAATCCCTACAGTGTGGAAACAGGCCCTTTGGCCCAACAAGTCCACACCAACCCTCAGAATATCCCACCCAGACGCATCCCCCATAACGCACCTAATTTACACGTCCCTGAATACTACAGGACAATTTAGTATGGCCAATCCACCTAACCTGCACATCTTTGGACTGTGGTAGGAAACCAGAGCACCCACACGCAGATACGGGGAGAACGTGCAAACTCCACACAGACAGTCACCCGAGGGTGGGATCAAACCTGGGTCCCTGGGGCTGTGAGGCAGCAGTGCTAACCACGATGCCACCATGCCACTGTGCCACCCCAATTCACTATTCAATTCAATTCATCCTCCTCATCTCTGTCTTTACTAATCTCTGCAAATAGCTCAGGATGTTCCAGGATTGGGCACAGGGCTGGGGATGAGGTAGCTCATATGTTAGGGTCACGCTCTCCTCCCGAGCTTGGAAACCCCTTGGTTAAGATTGTTTTGGCACATTCGTGCACCTATGAATTATAGCATTATAGCCACACCTCAGAGAGTTCTGTCAGATTCCTGCAGCCCATCTCCCTCTCCCTCCCACATATAGCTCCTCCATCAAGGCCTCTGTTGCACAGTTCGATCCCAGGGCTTTGAATTTAGGTCATGGAGTACAGACCGCAATTTGCTCACAATTCTTTCCCAATGTGGAGTTGGAAACACTTTCTGCTTTTGGGTGGCAGAGTGGCTTAATGGTTAGCACTGCATGCCTCAGAGCACCGGGGACCTGGGTCCAATCCCAACTTCGGACGACTGCCTGTATTGAAGTTCCACATTCTTCCCTTGTGCTTTTGTGTGTTTCCTCTGGGGTGCTCCTGTTTCCTCCCACAGTCTAAGGACGTGCAAGTTAGGAAGGATTGGTGATGCTAAATTGCCCCATAGCGTCCAGGGGAGTGTGGGCTCGGTGGGTTAGCCATGGGAAATGCAGGGTTACAGGATAGTCTGGGTGGGATGCTCTTCAGACAGTCAGCATGGACTGAGTGGCCCTCTTCCACATTGTAGAGGTCCTATAAGAT